TTTTCAAATGGTAAATTAAGTTTTTCTAAAATACTTAAAACTGAATTTCCTATAAAATAATTTTAGGTTCTACTTTCCTTACAGTCTAAAAACACGAAAACATTTTCGTACATTTCATTTTTATTTACATATCGAATAACAGTGACTAACTTGTGATAAAGTGACAAGTGACTAACTTTCATAAATCGGTAATTTCGTAGAAGAACACTGTAAAACTTTTCAACACATTTTTAAATATTTAATTTCCCATAATAAAAAGATATTCATTCTGTGTCGTTTTACTAATGTAAGTTGCTCTAAACTCAGAAGTTAAAAGATGTTTTTCTAATATTTCATCATTAAATGAAATTCTGAAATTTGATAATTCCCTAAAATTTCCGTATTTTCTGTAGGTTTTTAAGAATCGTCAAATATACTACCATCATCGCGATTTCCTCGTTTCCAAGAATATTTCCAAGAATTATTAATGTGTCAGTTATTGGTTTCAACCGAGATCTAGTGTCAGTATAACTATGATTAAAAAAATGACAATAGATACAGAATTAACCATTTATAGATTTTGATACGACTAGTCAAAAATATTTTTCTAAATGCTCTTTTTTACGAATATTTTTTCAATATAACCACATTTTTTGTGATTAGAAAAAGGATAACCATTACTATTTATTGGTCTCCAGTGATTTTCAATAATTTGTCTTTTTGATCAAATCATTAATGTAAGATTTTGAGTAAAAAAATCTCCTATGTATAGTGATTTATTAAAATTAATTTCAGACGATTGTGGTCCAAAAATATTAAATTCATTTTTTTTCTTTAGATATTGGTAATGATGAATCACCGTTTAAAGATAAATTATTTAGATCAACAGCAATTGAGTCAATCATTTCCTCTATTGTTATTCAATCATTATTTCCACAATATTGATACGTTTCTTTTTAAAAAAGTTTGTAATATTACATTATATTTTAGTACAATCAATATGGTATTACGAACGGTTGTCGAGTATCCAACTGTTGACAGAATTATGTTCAATATTTATTCTATCAGTTGTTGAGTCGTCAGTCACAATAACAATTTTGCTATTATGCGGGTAGCAATGAACAGATAACTAATAATTAATCTAGATAATATATTTCAGACATTTGAATATGAAAAATATTTTAAACGGTTAGGGGTAACCCCTACCACCCCTCTGGATCAACGCCTGAATGAAGTCGATTTAAATTAATTTCTTTGTGTATTTTATCAGTGAAACGACAATTCAAAAATTTTAGACACTAAATAAACAGTACAAATTAAAACCGAGAGAAAAAAAACACACACACACACACACACACACTGTTATTGGAAGAACTGTGTTAACACAAAAAATATTATTTTACAAAAACAAATATTCACGCCCTACGTTTAGAATTTGGTATATATATATATATATATATTATTATTTATACCAGTTATTATTATTATTTGCTCCTTTGTTGAAAATAATTGGATTTCAGAAATCGTACATTGTGGGGTTATTTATGAAATGGAAAAGTTATTCGGGCAACAGAACAGTGGGCGGAGCAGCCGGGGTAAGCCGAAAGAGAAATTACACCGTCAATCGGTCATCGTCTAAACATGTCGATAAGTAAATCCGACGGTATCCTATTTAATGGTATTAATTCCGTAACAGGTAAACTCTACGTAATCTTACAAGCTACCATGGTTCAGGTCTTCCATAAAATCTAATCTTAATAGAGCTTTTACTGCGATACGTAATTTCTCCGTTGTAAAATGTATACATGTAATATATAATCATACAATATTGATGGGCTGAGCAAATACGGCAAATTATTTTTCTGTAAAGAGGTAATTTTATTTAAAGAAAACCAGAAAAAAAATTTTCAGATACGAAGGTGTATTATACATTATAATTTTATTATTATTATTATTATTACTGTCATTATTATTATATCCTTCATTGTTATATTTTGTGTATAACCGATTGACATATTAATACCTATTGTTCTTTTATCGTATTCGATAATCTTTATGGTTTGTCATTTATTAAATAGCGCTCGGTTGCACGGATAGTATAAAAATTTATATGAATTCATAAATTTAGAGGTTCATAAAGATTTATTCACGTATATTTTATACACGGATGTAGTACGATTTCAATACTGTTCAAAGCATTTTGCATTATTCGGTGATATTATTTTTTTTAATTTTGCAATTACTTATAATATAAAAGTTTTAAATCTTTATAGTTTTTGAAAAGTACAAAATTCCTTGAATTACATTGTTTTATTATTTTTAATAAAATTGTTTTAACCGTAATGTTTTTTATAGGTTTTAAGAGTAAAGTTTTATGTTTTTTTCGGTTTCTATACTTAAATAATACATTTTTTGATTTTAAATTCTTAGGACTTTCTAGAAAGAAAAATATAATTTAAAATTAAATTTTTATTTTGTTTTTATTTTTTTATTATTAAACAATTTAGTATAATTTTTTACCGTTCAAAAATTATAATTAAGAAAATCCAGATTTTTTTTTTTTTAGAGCTTTTATTAAATATTTAGCTCGACAATTACACATTATACACCTTAATAATCTAGAATGTATAATGTTTGTTTTGAATCTTTAAAAGCGTGTTTGCAATCGTAATATAATTTGCAATTATAACTAAAAAATCGGTTCTAATAAACTATAGAAACATTTATTCACTATAAATAAATATAAATTATGAAAATGCTTATTTTTTCAAAATTAATATTCGATAGAGAAATAAATGAAATTTAAAATTTAAAGTTACATTTGTGTTATAAAATTTTTTTTCAAATTTGTATTAATAATTCAAAATTTTTAACTGGGTACATCGACAAAATATATCTGTTGTCATCTATTATGTATATATATACACGGGACGTATAGAATTATATAAGATAAATTAATGATTTCTTTTAGCCGAATAAAATCATCCAATAATAAATCAATATAGATTGAATACATCTGAATAACATTATATTAAAAAAATATAACTTGTAAATATACTACACGTAAAATAATAGCATTTATTTAAATAATAAATAAAATTAAATAACAAAAAATAGTTTCAATATATTCCTTTTCTTCCTACCGTCGATAACAGTAACACATGATAAATGTGTCCATATATTTTCTCCCTAATACCGTACTTATTGATATTGAAACAGCGACAATACTGTTAAACTTTTCTTCATTTTAAGTAGTAAATCTAATATAACACATTAACGTACACACACATATGATACCTACTGCCTATATGTATATTTGAGTATCATACTTCATAAATTATTAATTGGGATATATTATTAACACAAAATATTAACCCATTAACGCCGGAGTTTTTTTTTTTTTTTTTTAATGTTTTTTTTTCAATAATTATTGTCTAAGATACTTGATTATTATTATTTTTTAAAAAAAATGAAAATTGTATACTTAGATTCCGAAAAATTTGATGTTGCCATATGGCAACGCTAGGCGTTTATAATATAGTTTACAGCATAATATCAAAATAACACATTTTTTATTATTATTTCTCATATAAAATAATATTTGTATTATAAATTAATAAAAATAATACCTAATAATAAAATAATTACAAAAAGTATGATTATAGATATTTTATTATGGCAAATGAAAAGGCATGAAACAATCAATACACAATCCTAAATTGCATTTAGAACACATTGTCCGATAATAATAATAATAATAATAATAATACCATGGTGCATGAATAATACGTCAACGTAAATATAATATTTAAATTGATTTTATTCCCTAAAACTTGATTAAAAATGTTAGTACTAAACTTTTTCTATGTCAAACAGATAGTATAAAAAGTGGTGATATGAATAAGACATATTACACGTTAAGATAAATATATATATTAAATAGTATATTAGTTGTGTACTTAATTTAAGTTTTCTTAACTCGTAAGATTTAATATTTAAGACAATTTAAATCGACTAATAAAAAAAAATAAAAAAATAAAATCGGGAAACAGCAAAGTCAAATACTTTAATTGTATAATAGTTAATTCTCAAGTCGAACAAATTAAAAAAATACTGTACGTTTTCAGTGGTGATTTATTTGCAAACGATATAACTTTATTTATGCTTGTCTTAAATTAATCTTGTCTATGATATTTGATTAGTTACATAATCGCAAAAGTTAAAAAAAAATAATACAATTTAATTTTGTTTCTCGAATATAACTAAAACACCTTTTTACAAAAATCTTTTAAATTTGACATTTAGAAATTTTGAAATTTCATACCTTAAATATACGTTTGTATACAAACGTTTACAACGTTTGTTGTTGTAGTGATTTCCTATCGGCCAAATACGAAAAGGCGTCAAATGCTCTAGTTTGAGATAGCATAAAGAATTACTGTGTGAATATTTCTGTTTGTGTTTCATATATGCTATAATATATATATATTATAATTACATTCTTTTTTCGAGAAAATACACGTCAAAAACATAAAAATTCATGAATTTTATCGGTTGTATAAAAATATATTTTTAAATAGAGAAAAAATATGTTTATTTTCTATCAAAAACCCAACAAGTGTATAGAAAGAAAAATAGGTTAACATATTAATAGCGGAAAAAAAACGAGCTTTGAAGGTTTTTAATTGAAAACATTGATCTCGATCCACGTCATTGCCAGATGCATTGTTGTTTTAAATTTATAAAGACAAAATAATAAGCACATGAGTTTTAATTACGTTTTCAGAAGTACGTCTAATTGATTTTTTGATCACATCTTTTAACAGCAAGAAATATCGCGTTTTTTTTATACAGTTATAATGAAATTTACTTTTTCTATTGTGAAATTACTTTAAAAAAATTATAAATATCAAAATAATGCAATTTTTGATTACTAACAAATTTATGATATACATAAGTCTTCTTTTTTTTTTTTTTTTTATTACAAGCTGACTTAATTTTATGAATATTTTTTGTTTCAGATATTTATAATTGGTCACCAAAAACTGTTGCTTTTCAAGGTAAGAAAAAATTATTGGTTATTTATTTAAAGTAAATATGGCCAACACTGTATTCCTCAAGGTGACCACCTTACTCTTTTTTTGTTTAATTTATTCATAAATTATATTATTTACACTATTAAACACTTTAATATTCTACTTTTTACTGATGATGATAACATTTTTAAAGCCATAAATTCTCTCTCTGATTCCGAAAATTTTCAAAACGATTTAAAAGGCTTTAATGATTGATGCATTCGTAATGGTTTTTCCTTAAATATTAATAAATGTCAATCAGTGACTTTTTCTAAGAAACTCGATAAATTGATCTATGACAATACGAGTAGTTTAAATAATATTATTATTACTCGTACAAACATGGTGAAAGACCTTAGTATTCTTTTTGATATAAAACTATTATTCTCCTCTCATATCATCTCTATCAAAAATAAAGCTTTATCCATGTTTGGAAATATTATGCATAATTGTTCTTTTTTTAATGATCCTTTCACCTTTAAATGTCTTTTTACTTCCATTGTCAGGTCTATTTTAGAATATGCTACAGTTATCTGGGACTCTATTGCTGTAGGTATTTCCAATCGCGTTGAAGCTGTCCAAACAAATATTTACGATTTATTAACTTTAAATTCAGTATAGCAAGGACTCCTCGTTCTGATTATGATAACATTAACAAATTTTTAAATCTCAATTCTTTAAAAGATCGTAGAAAAGATTCGTATATTACATTTTTAAAAAAATTATTAAATCATAAAATAGATGAATCTTAATTATTAAGTCTCATTAACATAAAAATCAAAATCAATACTCTTAATACTAAGGAGTCATGTTTTTATTTTATATAAATTATTATTCCCACAAATACCTACATACTTAACTCTCCTATTAATAATCTATTACTTAATGGTAACTCTGTCAATACCGATTTTGGTTTATTTTTTTTTTATATAAATCTGTCTTATTTTTAATGTACTTTAATTTCACATCACCTTTTTTTCGTTGTTGTTTTGCTTTATATATTTTCCACATTAATATCATTGTTGTTAATATTTTTATTATTATCATGCTATGTCATAATATTTTATCCTAATTGTTATTCTAAATTACAAGTTCTAATATAAGCATTTTACTTTGTAAATGGACTCAGGTCCATAAATAAATAAATAATTTTATAAATGCTAAATAATAATACGATCATTTATTTTATAATAAAACGTATAATATTATTAAATCAATGAATCGATACACACTTTATGAATGTTCTGCACGTAAAAATGTTTTAAAATCAAAAATTAGCAGGTCGTCTTGTATTGTCCCAAACGAAATTAAGTTCAAACATAATTATACAAATATTTTTGAAAGATATTGGGCAGTGTCTATTTTGTTTATTATGTTTTCTGAATAATCAGTGAACCAATTAAATACTTTGCTACTTTGCTGTCGTAAAAAATTGATTTTTCTTTTCTTTTTTAAATTACTCGTACCTGTTAAAGTACTATTATTATTAAAAGTAAAAACATACTTTTTTTAACAGTTATTAATAATTTAGTGAATTACTTTTTTCTTTTTTGAGAATAATCGTGTTAGTAAATATATATCATATATTTTTTTTCCAATCGATAAGAAATTAGAAATATTAATGCATAATATAATTTAATGATGTCCAATTGATGGAGTGCTTAATTTCTCTATGAAAATACATAAATAGCATTACGTTTAAAATTTCAGGAATCATAATACGTATTTAAATTACTTATAGAAAATAAATAAATCGAAAGATCAAAATATAGATAAAAAGTATACATATTAAAGTCATTTTAGTTGAGAATTTGAAAAATGTGATTAAATTAAATAATTTTACAAAAAGTGAAAAAGAATTTTATGAATATTGAATTAGTATTGGAATTGATTAATATTTGTTCAAATTATTTTCGAATAAATGTTAAAGTTATAAATTATAAATATGCCAAACATAATATATGTATTTATTAATAAGTCCTATTGAAATCATAAACATGAAAAGGTTATAGATAGTATTCGTTAAGCATGTTCTAGGGGTAAGCGATTGCCATTAATTGTATTTTGCATATTTTAACTATAATAGAATACGTAATGTTAGATGGTTTTGTGGTCTCACCGAACAAACTTTGTAGATTGAATAGGTGAAAAAAGAATAAAAAATAATACGAGCTTTAATGATATTTTTTCGTTTATGTTTGTTTAGATCCTCGTTAAAAAGATTTTCCATTGTTCTAATTTTAATTATATTCACACTCCTTTAACGTATAAAAAGAGTCAAAAGAAACCTTTTAACTTTTGTTACTCTCGTGAAAAATGATCAGTCCGCAGATTATTTTTCGACCTCTTACAATAGTAAGTTATAGTAGCCTTCTCATCCACTCAGATAAAAAAGTAAACTGATGTTTTATAAAAAAATAAAGAAAGTAAATAACTTATTAATGACTAAAACGCGTTTATTATTCACAAAACTAAAACGACAAGTAAGATGGGAATGAGATACGACGAAAATTCGTTTTATAATTCGTATTTTTCTTGTCTTGGTAAACTTTTTAAAAACTGATTAAGTGAGCTATTTCAGTTGCTAATAATCTTAAAGATTTAACGTCTAGACATAATTCTTTTCTATTCTTAAACTTTCAGTTAATAAACTACAAAAAACTAAAAAATTTAACCGTTCTTAAACATAGTGCAATATATAAATAACCATAATAATAGTTTTGATGATTTAATAGCAATATTAGCAATATTTCAAATATATGTTTTAATGATAATAAATTATATATAATATTGACATAAAAACAGAATTTAACACATATGTCTAGTTTAACAAAACATGATGTCATAAAGCAATCTTAACAATTCAGTAGTATGGTGATTTCAATGAAATTTTAGGCTGTAGGTAATAATTTTATTTCATTTTTTCCTTTCTCGATTATTTCCGGGCTTACATGTTCGCGATTCGGTAAATTCTTCAAGTCCTCTGGGACACAACAAGAAATCAAATTACAAGTCCTGCCGACATTTATCACTTTTATGACCTCGTCCGAGATTTTCACTATGTTGTGCACCGTTTCCTTTCCGTTTATATATTTTATTTCATTGTTATTATTGTTATTTATATGAAAATGCCGCAAGTGTATGTATGTGGCAGCAAAATTTCTTATCGAGGTCATGTTGTGGAATCAGGCGGCGTAAATTTTTATCCTGCTAAGATTTATAGCGTTTACTTTTTCTTCTTTTATTTTTTATTTTTATTTTTCTACGCACCGTCTTTAAAAAAAAAAAAAAATAATAATAAAGGAAGGGGGAAAATATCGGACCTGAGAAAAATATGTTACGGTTCAGTTAAAGTGTCGACCGCAAGACATTCCTTTTTTACATTTTATCTCTATATTTTCCTTTTTTTTTTCATTGTTCTAAAAAGAGAAAAATGCCCAAACAACTTCGGAATGTTATTGTTCACGAACAAAGTGAAAAACTAATATGTGTTTCTTACGAATTTTCTTTTTTTGTATGTTATTATACTGTATTTTACCTAAGTTATATCACTGCATATTAATATAATATATTACACTTACTTTACAGTAGTGTTTGTAATAATTTCAACTATTTTTTACGAATGTAAAACGTAAATTTTATAATAGATAATTCTGCTAAAGAAAATTTTAAACTGAGAATAATTAAATCCAGTTTCAATGGTATTTTCAGGTGCAATTTATACTCTAGTACATATTTACATTCGCATAGCATTATATTTAGAATCTTATATATACTATATATTTAATGTGTTGAAATATTTATTTCAATTTATTTAAAGAATTAAAATAATTAAATTAATTTAACTGGTTTGAATGGTTAAAATTAATCAAAAACAATCGTTAACACAACATCGTTATTGTAGAATTGATTACCATCGTACCAACCAAGTTCAGACGGCGCGTTCGTTAGGCAATATTGATACACTAATGTGTATTCCTTCAAACTACGTATTTTTTTTTTTTTTTGTTTTAAATCATCTAAACTGAAACCTTTGTATATAATAATAACAAAATATTTTTGAGACACATGATAATAATTATGACAAACATGTAAAATAAAACAAATTCATTGATAAGTTAATATATTTAAAATAATCTTTTTTTTTTTCTCTTAAAGATTGTTAAAAAAAATCATTAACCCGTGGGAAAAGAAAATTAAAAACCGATTTCATTGTTTGACCGTGGTTATAATTGTTTCATTATTACAAATCAGAATTTACAAAAAATAGATGTAATATTTTTTAATTTATTTAAAATAAACAATTTATCACAGAAATTTAAAACAATAATAGTATTCGAAATTAATTACTTCTAAAACAAGAATTATACATAACAATATTTAATGTATCCATTTATGAACATCAACATTAAAATTCATATTTATGTATCTATATATTTAAATTCCAAATACCGCTGACTCACTTATCGCTATATTTCAAAAACTGTTCAACATACGCACTCGAAATTTGGAATAGTGGTTCCTCTAATACATTCACCGTGCAATAAGAAAGCATTTTTTTTAAATTCTTCGTTTAAGCGGATTAATCAATAATTATTAACTAATTATTATTAATCACCGCCAATACGTATTGTGTGGTAATACGGCGGCCCGCAGGTTTTCAGCTACCTGCAACCTATCCTTTTTTCCGTCAATTATGTTTTTGATACCGGTGTGTAGAACGTTTTCTTTCCGTTTCCCAGTCGCGGTTCCTGTATATTCTTATTTGCATGCGAACAAACTTTAATATAACTTGCACGCCGTACCACCAGCAGTTCGGACGTGTGTGACATAATTTATATTATCTTATAATAATATACAATAAATATAAATAAGTAAACGCATACTCAATAAATGGCACGAGTATAGATATAGTCACTACTATAAAAGATCTGGGTGTAATTTTCTGTTCTTACCTCAATTTTCACACTCATATAGAGTCAATC